TTTTTTTTCAGAGTGATTTCAAACAAAAAACGTCTTTATTTAACGACCTTCATGCAAACGTAAGTTCCATTGAAAAGACTGCAAGCTTCATCATGACCACACCGTCCATTACAGTTTGCTTCTGCCTTCAGCAGTTCACACCGATCACCCTCATAAATGCTCTCACACATGCATGAGAAACCTTAAAAAGTACAAAATACCTTAAGTATCTCAAGTTTAGGAAATAGTTTATTAAACTGCATTGCTACATACGCCGACACTGTTCTGGTACCTGCTAGAGCTAAGAATGATAGCTTACTGTCTTTGTATGGTAGACACTTCCCGCCGTTTAAGCATGGATTTTGATAACATACGTCAAAAGTGTCACAATGAATGCCTTGCCAACCTGGATTACACTTACAACTTGGAACTCCCGAACTGTTTGAGCATACTCCTAAACAAATTTTTATTTGAAAACAATTTTTTCGTTCTTTAGTACGGAGCAGTATTTTCATCGGTATCGACTCGACAGAAGTCAGTATATGGTTATGATCGACAAGAAGAAGCTGTTCAGGATAAGAAAAAAAAATCACCGTTTTTACAGTTGTAATGATTACAAGAACTGTTCATAATAGCCACCGGATCTTCACAACTGGCACCTGTGTAGCCAGGGTTACACTCACAGACTGTATCTCTATGTTTTTCAACGCAGTTTCCATGTACGCAGATCTTACTGTAATTGAATTCTCAACTTAAAAAACAACAAAAACTAGTTACTTTTGTTTAAAGTGCTTCATACTTATTTGACTTATTATCTGTTCTCAAATTTAGCCCCTCTTCTATCACAAAAAGGATTATGACTTTAAATTTCCAGCTATTTTTGACTATTATTGACACACTTTTGTGCTGAACAGAGATCAGCTGTTGTTTCGCAAAGCCGTCCAGTATATCCAGCAACGCAAATGCAACGACCACTGCTCTCGCAAGTGCCGCCATTCATGCACGGATGGCCCTGACTACATGCTGTTTCCACTTCACTATCACAGTTCTCACCCTAAAACTTCCAGTCCGTTATTACAAGCAGTTTACAGTACTGGAACAAAGTATTATCCAACGTTACTGTATGACACTTTTAAAAACAACTTTAGATTAGGTTCTAAATGAAAAAGATGGGGCAAGGAATCTGAAAGTTGTAACAGTCATTTAATAACAGACTCACAAATAACTTGTTTTCACACACGCAGATTCCATCTACGCAAATATGGTGTTTGCTGGAGCAGTTACAAGGCTTTTCCACTTTGTGCTGTAAAAAAGATAAATATTATGTTCAGCATTTCGCAGTAAGTATCTTCAAATAATTACAATTCAAAAATTACATGATACTCTGTATACCTCACTGATACCATTGAACATTGTAAAGGTGTCTAAATTATTTAAATGATTAACCTGACAGTGTTGACCTGTAGTTCCCGATGGACATTGACAGTGATAACCGACTGTATCATCCACACAGATACCGCCGTTTAGACAAGGCTTTTTTTCACATCCACTGCTTAATTCACAAAAGACACCTGAAAAGACGACTTTTACAAACTAATTTTTAAAAACTGAAAAGAAGAAATGATTGTGAACGGTAAAAAAGTTTTGAACTTGTATTCAAACGAAGTACAGCACAACAAACCTCTGAAACCGTTAGAACACTTGCAGAAGAACGAATTTAGTGAGCTCACACATGTACCACCATTAAAACATGGGTTCTTTTGGCAGTGGTCAATGACATTTTCGCATAATTCTCCACGAAATCCT